ACCAGCCAACATACTGCAACAATCAATGTCAACATGATTACTTAATTAAGAAATAGAAAACGAGTCGCGTATGTTTATGGTGTGATATAAATGCACGCGGAGAATGTTGGGAGAATATACGACAGAAGCGTGTAAAACATGAGGCGTAGCCGAGTGCTATACATGCTTCTCGAGTGTTCTCCCAACATTCCCCGAGTTCCCAGCGTCTTTCTTAGAACGGCGCGAGGCGAAGTAAAGACCCTGGTTTCGGCTAGTCACTTGTGACCCAGATTCTGGGTGATAAATTAAAATTGTACTATGGGTAGGGTGGACGAGGAGCGTGTTTGTCGCGTTGTAAAAATCATTGCAACTTTGTGTGATGAAATTTAAATTTGCAACACGAAATCGTGAAGAGAACAGCAATTAAAAATTAAAATTTATCATGATGTGACTTTCTACTCTATATCTAGTGTCAAGTTACAATTCAAGAAAGTTGGATCAGATTTTAGCTTACAGACTTGCTAAAGAAAGCACGCCTGGGCGGCGTGGCAATCAGGCAATAAGCCTAGAATATATATACATATCTCTAGATCGGTTGTTAGTTTTAAAGTATATTCTGATACTCGGACTAAAATAATTTATTATTGATGATATGTGGAATTGCAACGAAATAGCGAGATCACTTGATTTCCGAAATATCGCCAAGAGGCAATATGGAAAGCCATAGCTGTGTAGTTAAGTGATCAAAAGACTATAAAATTTCCTGCATTGGCCCTTGGCATTGCCGAAACTCAACGATCATGGTATATGTCAAAGTCTAAAGATAACACTCATAGATAGCACTCAAATAAAGATAAACTTTATAAAGATTAGCAACCACGAAATTACGAACAAGAAAGAGCGATTTCACAAGTTCCTTGAAATGCGACTGTTAATTCTTCGAGGACAAGATTAACGTATATTGATTGTCCCTCATTATTGGTATACCTTTACAACGAACATCTCCATCTCTACTGGACCAATACTGGTAAATCAATGAAATTGAATTTATGAACTATCGACGCTTCATAAAAAATAAACATTATAAAAGTTTACAGAAATGGTATCCATGCATTAAATAAAGAACTTGCTAAATTTGGTTTGTTCAGATGCAAGATTTGTTCCGTGATTATATAATCATAAGTCTCATAATTCATATTCAAACTGAATATTTAAATTTCAAATAGTCCTAGTGATTTGTTTCAGAATTTTGTTCTAAATATGCGATGTATGCTGTAGAAAAATCTGTAATTCTTTTATTGCATGATGATACTTCGATGCGTATCTGCAAGTATTGCTAACTGAACTGTCAGCTCTTTCTGTACTATTTCTCCTCAATAAAGTCTCACTCTAAACTGTATTTTACTGTTCTAACTTACTGGTAATATCCATAGGCGTACCGGGCGGGGGGGCGGGGGGGGCGGTAGCCCCCCCAGTTTTTTGGGCAGTCGGGCAATATTCGATCAACAGTCGGGCAATTTCGGTTTGCAATAAAAAAAAATGGGACAAATTCTGTCAATTTTGTCTAAAATTATTTCGCCAAAATAATTTTTCCGGAAAATTTTTTTTGGTACTAGTCGGGCAGAATCCCGAAAAGTCGGGCAATTTTCTTTCCACCCCCCTAATTTTTTCCTTCCGGTACGCCCATGGTAATGTCTACCTTTTACAGTATGTTACAGTCAAATTACAAGAACCTTCCCACTTCCACAATCTGTTGTAAATGTTTCTGTAAATCGTTCTGTTTTACACTTTTCCTGTAGCGGTTACCAAATTATGAACAAATATGGTGACAAAATTTTGTATGGCCCCAGCGAGTTAACGCTCTATAGAGCGTCTTGTTTATATTTTGAACTGCTATATTTTTTAAATATGAAGTACTATAACAGTGAAACACTTTTCTGGTTCGCTATATGCTTGTAAATGAATATAAACTCTACAATGCAAAATTTGGGCAATATTTATATCTGCGGATCCCCCTTTGTTATAAGCAGAACTGATGCACAGAACGGACTTTACAGCATTTTTAAACGGCAATAACTTTTAGACTAAAAATGCAATTTTGATTCTGTTTTCGAATTTCCTAATATTTTGTATTAATATTTCGTTTTCTGACAGAACACGCATTAATATTACTTACCAAGCCGGTTCAATGCGACAATTGCCACGTATGTTTATACGCCTCTGCAGGGGACCATATTGCACTAATAAATTCGGCACGTGTATAAAAATCTGCCCAATAGGTCTGAACTATAGCTCTGAGCCAGAAATCCTTATCTGTAATTCCATGGACATATGATAACTTACGACATATTCTAATCTATTATGTACCGGAGAATGTTTGAAGCCTTAATTTGTCCGAAAAGTAAAATTATCCAGCCTGCATGAGCGCTGTGAAATTTCATATTTGAAACAAAGAGTACTTGAAAGAGTGTATAGTACATAATACCTGCGTGACGACTGCATCAAAAAGTTTTGCAGCTCTCTGGCTCGTAGTAGATAACGGCAGCCCTTCGCTTCTCCAGGCCTGATATCACAACAATAAAGTAAATATTTACAAACATTAATTACAGCAAATGACAAATTTAAGACAAAGTTCAAACTATATATATATATGTGATAAATTTATTCCGAGGTTAAATATGTTAAGGCTGGCACTGCTTAATTCAATAATGTCAACAAACAATATTTCAAACACATTTTATCGAAACAACAACGCCATGCCATGTTAATCCGTAATGTAAAAATATATTTTCTTACCGACAGGTCGCGCCATTCTCGATTTGTTTGTGCAGACATATTTATAATATTCGCGAAATCGGTGACGAGGCAACAGCTGTCGCGGACAATGACACTCTTTCCCTCTTGTATACAATATTTGGTGTCAACGAGTAGCTGAATGATGCACAAAGTTCTATTCGAATAGCTAGCTTATTGAGCGTACAAATTTGAAACGTTTGAAACTATCAAGTGTAAAAGTTGGCGCCTTTGGAAGCGTATGTTGAGCAGTATATTCAACTAGTCAGTTGACTATGGAAACTATTCTTGCCATGCTGATAATAATACCTGTATTAAATTAGTTTAAATAGTGAACATGCACCGAAGCACGTAAACAAAGAAAACAATCGTCAAAACTACAGTTCCCTATTGGCTGATAGCACTCAATCCGTTCTCAACCGTATACTAGCAAGCTCTTATTGGATAAACGTTTGGCATAATTTATTCGCACGAAAGTTGGCAGTGTGTTGGTGATTAGTTACATACGATTGCTTACGTATGGAACGTAAACGCGAAATTTGCATGCATGAGATGTTATAACTCGAGACGTCTCGCTCATTCCCTGAAAAACTGGCACGCTTGATGCATGCCATTGTTTACCTAGTAAACTAAAACACAGAAAATCCGCAGAATGTTAACTGATATAACTTTGGAAGTCAACCTGGCCGCTGTTTGTACACGAAAATTTAGCTCAATTTCAATGGAATTTGATGACTCGACAGTCTCGTGCCATATCATATGCTGTACTGTATATGAGTTTGCATGAAAGTAAACACAATTCCCAACGGGCAATATTGCAACAGATGTCTATACTATAGACATTGTCATTGCTCTACTCAATACAGTATGTTTCGTAAATATTTCGATTCCCAAAGGCAAAGGCAAACATATTTGTGACTAAGAGTAAGAGTTTATTAAAATTCGTTCATGAATCGGCAACGGCAATCATGACATTACGAGATTTATAGCGAGGACATGTACATATCAACGATATTTTAGCATTGAAGCATGCATATAAACACGGCGAGCCAGAGTAAAACGTTTTTAATTTAAAATCGATAGAAGAAAATGGATCGCTAGAAAATTTTTATGGCCAGTCTGTTTTCATGGGATTTGACCTTGAAGGTTCAACGACTAATTAATGGAGCTATTCTCTTGTGACTCTTATAATGTCTGGAGAAGTTTTAACATTCAAACATTTTCTGTGCAAATAGTTGGACATATGTCTGCACCAGAATGAAAACTTTGTATATGCAAACATATTTTCGCACGATGCGATAGTACGTTAGGCAATCTCTAGACTCTATAGTGATCTACACGACTACACATGTCGACATAGCTTCATGAAATCGAAATTTTGATTAACTGACAACATAATAAAGCCTTTACAATTCGCACATTTTACAAACAATGTGCATATCTATGGTCTCATTAGTTAACATGCACAACTCAACGAAAACGAACGTATAGCCTCATTAAACGAACGATCTATTCGTCGCCGAAATGCATAAAAATTGGCCTGCTCATTGGTAGAGACAGCACATCATGAACTATCGTCTGATATTGAACGAATATTATAATCACATACCGTTCCACGTAACAAACGAGCTAATTCTCATTGGTTGAGACAGCGGACAGCACATCATGAATTTGCGACTGGTGTTACACAGCGAACGGACTTGTACTCGCAAGGACGATACAATTATAAGTTGTTCGAAATCCATTGTCAAATATTTAATATTTTAGAAAGGACTCGACACTTGCCCATGTTAAACTACAAAACAAATGTTCACATTAACAGGCAGGCATTGCTGTAATTTGTTGAAAAACTCACAACTATTTATTTATTTATTTATTTATTAGTTTCGCCATATTACAATACACAAAACTATAACAAGAACAAGAGTAATAGACATGACTATAGGCAGGGTGACCGCAACAGCGTGAGCCAATTACTGCGGGCCCGAATTAGGACATATACAAACATAAAAAAACTATCTAAATAAAACTATAACTAATAGCAGCACTGAAGAGGCTGAACCAGAGTTCGAGCGGTATTACACTTGGTACATATAGTTTTGAATGTTCTTGGATTTTCAGGATCGTAGGAAATTTCCAGAGCACGGAAGTAATAACTTAGAATAGTAGATTTAAATGAGTTCAAATTTATCATGTTAAGTTTCAGTTCGTCGGCTAGGCTGTTCCACACCCTGGTTGTTCGAATTAGAAACGAGCGTTGATGCGTCGTTGTTTTGCTCCTGGGAATGACAAACTTAGGTATGTCCGTGTTTATAGACGATCTGGTCGGTCTGGAGCTTCGGGTTTTTGGTACTACAGAAGGTAGTACTATGACCATTAAACTCACAACTCACAAAGTTGAAGTTGGGATGTTCGCTTGGGCACCAGTTATTGCAAGGAATAATAATTTATAGAAACGCTGAAGTACAGATTAGCGGTTAACAATTAATGCATGGATATGGCCTGTACTTCGTTATTTAAGCTGAGATACCTTTCTTCCTCTAACAATTATTCAATATTCCCACTCAGTACACACAAATAAACGGAAAATAGAAGATTAAATGCAACTGATAAAAATTGCGGAGCGGTTGCAGTCTCATGTAACTCGTCCATCGTGACTACGGTTGAAAGGCATAAAGGAATTAATAAAGTATACTCGCATTTAATATTTCCATAAAGACAAGGATGAAAAGTGCAATTTGCATCGCTATTCACTTTTCATGCAGAGAATGTCGGAAAGTATGTGTCAAATAACACATCATCCCAAAGACTATATAAAACTTCGGTATAGTTTTTATTCAATTTATAGCCATTTGCTAAACAATAACTATGTTTTGATATATGCATGTTTAATTGTAATCTTGACATATAAAATAAGCTATCCTTATGTGGCGTTCATATGTGCATACTGTATTGATGTAAAACTTATATTATAGTAATAGGATTAAGCGGTATAGACTTTGCTCTTTCCTGACTATCTAGAGTTGTTGATAGGTAAATGACGTAGTTCCTTATTTGGGAGAGTCTCCCACGGAGTGTTGTATGATATGAGTGTCCCTATATGTCGTGTGTCGTGTGTCGTGGGTTAAAAGTCGTGTGTCGTGGGTAAAGTCGTGGGTAAAGTCGTGGGTAAAGTCGTGGGTAAAGTCGTGGGTCATAAAATGTGCTAAAAACGCATTTTTTCATATTTTTATTTTTAATATTTTTTGGTACTTTTTCCTTTTATGCGCTAGATAAATACAGGAAGATTTAACGCAACAAATCTCCAGTAATAAAACAAGTAAATGTTTCCGTTTCGTATAGTCTTATATAAATAAGTCTATAAATGTATTGTTTGATGATAAAATGTCCTAAGTTATAGGATATTAGGATATAGGTTTATTAGCTTTGGAAGTGTTATAGTCCCTATCATGAACGTCGCGAATAACTATTTCGATTGCATATGTCTGATGCAAACATATTGAGCTATAAATTCTACGTGGCCAACACTCGAGCCTCACTGAATTTTGCTATTTTATCTCCTAGACCTAGTATATGTTCGTGGCCCTTAAAAGTAGACAAACATTTCATGTGTATGTGGCGTTCGGAAATATCCATAAATTGCTACGATTTGGGATTTCGCGATTGAAAACCGAAATGATTTGTGCGTTGTCGCCATGTCAGGCTATTTGCCAACCGAGCGCGCTAGCCGCTGTTATTTTGACAGAATATGATACCTCTACACTTTTCAGCCGTAATACATAATGCACGCATTGTAATCATATACATATCGTTTAATTTAGCTCCAAAAACTTATTTTGTTCAATGCAAAATGCGCAGCATGTTGCAGCGTACATTAATATCAAAGAAAAAAGGTTGACTTCATTTGACTGAAATATGCAAGATTTCCCGTTACATACATGATTTATACCGAGGCGGCTTTGCATGTGCTCTGCCTCTGGCAACTATGACACCATTGCGCTCCGCGGGAACCAACACGAATAACATGTTTTTTTATCAAGTTTTTGAAGCTAAATTAAACGATATGTATATGATTACAATGCGCGCTGAAAATTACGGCTGAAAAGTGTAGAGGTATCATATTCTGTCGAAATAACAGCGGCTAGCGCGCTCGGTTGGCAATTAGCCCGACAACGCAAAAATCATTTCGGTTTTCAATCGGGAAATCCCAAATCGTAGCAATTTATGGAATATTTCCGGACGCCACATACACATGAAATGTTTGTCTACCTTTAAGGGCCACGAACATATACTAGGTCTAGGAGATAAAATAGCAAAATTTGAGGCTCGAGCGTTAGCCACTAATTATACTAGGCACTGCAGCGTAAATTTTATAGCTCAATATGTTTGTATCAGGCATATGCAATCGACATAGTTATTCGCGACGTTCATGATAGGGACTATAACACTTCCAAAGCTAACTGATAAACCTATATCCTATATAACTTAAGACATTTTATCATCAAACAATACATTTATACTCTATAGGCTTATTAGACTATACGAAACGGAAACAAAATCAAACACTTAGCCTACTTGTTATACTATAGATAACAGCAAGATAAGAAATTATTTTATTTATACTGGAGATTTGTTGCGTTAAATTTTCCTGTATTTATCTAATGGAAAAAATGGAAAAAGTACGAAAAAAATATTAAAAATAAAAATAATATCTTCGTGAAAAATGCGTTTTTAGCACATTTTATGACCCACGACTTTACCCACGACTTTACCCACGACTTTACCCACGACTTTACCCACGACACACGACTTTTAACCCACGACACACGACACACGACATATAGGGACACTCGTATGATATATAATATCATATGAAATTGGTCGAAGACCCGTACTCAGGAAATAAAATAACAACATAAAACGCTCACTGAGTTTCCAGCGATATACATACCCTTTTCTAGATATATACCTAATAATAATAAACGAACGAACGAAAGTATTCCTTCCACTCGTGAGCTCATTTACCATTGTCACATAAAAGTAAATGTCCAGGCCTTGCGACCCTGGATGGGCAT